AGTGGTAGTGGTAGTGGTAGTGGTGGTGGTGGTGGTGGTGGTGGTAGTAGTAGTGGTGGTGGTCCCAGGCAGAGAGAGAGAAGAGCGCGGACGGGGGTGCGAGGGTGCCGATGGTAGCGCCACGCAGCCCGCCAAAAAAAGGCATCACGCAGGGAAAGCGGAGAGAATGCAATCTTCACCCCCCACGCGCGAATTATACATCGGCGGATGGTAGGGTGTCGTTGCTGCGGAGCCATGAATCGCGATGATGGCCCCACGGTGCAGCCCTCCACCCCGCCGCCCCTTCCGCACTCGCGGATAATCAATCGTCGTAACACCGCTCGGTGATTCCACCGACGCCAGGAACGACGCATTTTCGCTGGATGCGGGATAACACAGGGTGGTGGAAAAGAGGCACGACGCGGAAACCAGACAGACTGTAGCATCAAACCAGCACAATCGTACCAAACACGCACGAGGGCACAGAGATTCCTTCTTATTTCCCCGTTGTCTTGTATCTCTCTGTAACACTGGCGCGTGTGGCTTCTTTCGTGTGGAATAGAAAATCGTGGCAGTAGAGAGGAGAGAAGACGAGGTGGTAGGATACGAACCGCGCGCGTGTGTCTTGGCCAACGAGGAAAGAGCAAGGATTCGAGAGGGACGAGATGATCGTCGTGTGCAGGGAGTAAGATCTGCTCGGGCAAAGGGAAACGGAAAAATATCATCGATAGTGAGCCACCTTTGTCTTTTCTCTGTCTCGTCTGTTTCGAGGCTGACGAGAGAGAAAAAGGCGAAAGAGAAGAAGAGAGAACGGAATATATACCGACAGCGGCGGGCCCGTGCACGAGATGCCGCCCCTGGAGACATTTTACCGTGCGATTCGACGCTCATGAATGTTTGAACGCCGTTCGCACAACGATATGAAGCCATTTAGATCGACGATACGCGACGCGCGGACGAGGATGGATAAGACGTGGCGTGAACAGTGCTTCCTCGAATACTTCCGGGGTTGACGCGGCCACCACCGCGACCGATGTCGCCGTCTCGAGCCAGGCACCGTTCATCTCAGTGTAAACGGAGTTCAGGGGTAAATGTTGTGCGTGTACGTGTGCTGTTTACAACAGGGACTGTTCCGCCGAGATTATTCGTCGACGTGCGATACGATGATAGAACACGAAGACGCGAAGACTAGAAGCGTGGTGGAGTGTAAAACGACAACGGGAAGCTACGTGAATGCCGATGTTCTCGAGTTCCTCGATCCTGTTCGGATACGCGAGGCAACGCGCTCGTACGACGATCCTTGCAACACTGACGAATCGGCCAGAAGGATGATGAGACGTTGCTCGAACCGCGGTGTCGATCACTGCATGATGAACGTTCACGTGTACGGGATACTTGGCACCCGATTGAATAGAATAGAATAGAATAGAATAGAATAGAATAGAATAGAATAGAATAGAATAGGAGAGAACGGAACAAACAGAAAGACTAGAACGATAAAAGAGAGAGGGATATACAACAAAGTAGAGGTTGTCACACGCGGTGGTGTATCGCGATTCGATGGATCAGTTTCGAGCGTGCCGGTGGGTATAAACTGGGACCCACGAGTGCGATGGAGCCCGAGTGTCTGGAGCCATTGAACCTGGTGATAAAGAAGGACGACAACACTGAGAGCGGACCTGCGACCAACGTGACGATCGAGGAGGGCAGCAGCGAGGCATCGATCAACAGGATCGACGAGGAGAAATGCAACAACCCTGATCCGGGCAAAACGATCGAGGACAACATGACGATACTCCAGGACGCGATGAAGGCCGGCGAGGAGGCGGGCTTACCCACAGCCGATCACAAGATTCTCACGGCACTCTACATGAGCAGCCTGATGCAGATGTCGAACATGAGCCTGCCGAGAAGCGTGACACCGCCTCCGTACGGTGCCCAGCACAACTTCATGCAGCTGCTGGCCATGGTCGAGGCTAGGCATCGTATGTGGCAACAGATGAACTGGCCGCTGCCGCAGAACTTCCCCAGGAACCCGTTGACCTTGCCCGCCCAACCATATTTCGACGGGCCGACGACGAATCTCACGGAACAACTGTGCAACTCCCAGAACTCCACGCCGACCTTTCCCCTATCCTGCACGAAACCTGACCAACAACCCCTGAACCGCGACTCGAAGCAGTCTTACTTCAAACGGTAACCATTGGGTCGTTTGATGGAATATAGATAGATCGTAGATTAACACTCAAGTGACTAATACACGATGAGATTGATACTGAGGAATATTTCGATTGATTCTTTTGGTGGTAGCTAAATCTCTTTACGTAACGACGCTAAATCCAAGATTCACGCGTGTAAAATAGAAGATTTTCAACGAATCTTTAACATCTTTGACAATGCAACGAGAAGAACAAAAATAGAGCAAGATGAACAATCGTCAAACAATGACAGTGCAGATTACAATAAATTTAGTAGATTCGAAATTTTAATGAATGATATAATCGTAAATGTAACGTAACTTGAGAACGAAGAAATAACTATTTCCTGGAATCGTTCGTTCTGAATTTTATTACACTATCAATTAGAATTAAATACGGAGGAAGAAATGAGGAATTTAATTTATTTTAATAAATTCTTTAGTTAATTTTTTAATTGATAATGATGAAATTTTTCGATTATCTGTTGAATAGGTCTACGGTAGAACAGAAAAATTCTACGTCGCTACCGGCAGACAACGCGAAAACACAGGATACAGGGCAACAAAACAATCAAGGTAAGAGCTCATTTAACGGATCTGGGCTTCTATGATCAGTTTACCGTTGATTTTCACACTGTAGAGACCACCTCTCATACCCGTCGATGATGTTTGACAGATAAAAAGAAACCCCATATAAAAAAGCCTTTGAACGCGTTCATGCTGTACATGAAGGAGATGAGGGCGAAGGTCGTGGCGGAGTGTACCTTAAAAGAGAGCGCCGCGATCAACCAAATATTGGGAAGACGAGTGAGTAACATGGAACTATACTTTCGTTCATAAGTATTCATATATGTCGAAGGATCTGTTGCATCAGGGTTTGTACAACTTTTTATTACAATTTACTAAGCTATCTTAAAATTCATGTCTGATGTTTCTTTTCTTTCTTTCAGTTTTAGTTCAGAATCACGGTTGCTTATTAATAGGATAGACTGTGATTCGTGGTATAAGGGTGAGAAAAGAAACAGCTTTTTGAGATACAAAGAAACGTAGGATTCGTTCATTTGATCTGTTGTCTAATGTACAATTACTATAACTGACGTATAACAACAATAGTTGAATTTCATTGGCAGCTATTGCTAATAATTTGTCGATAAGCTACTTTCGCAGTGCTCTGTTTCTTAAATTTTTTAAACGTAAAGATATAATTAAGAGAAACTGATAGCTGATTCTTTTATATAAGAGTTTCAGACGAAATATTGTCTGTAGATTGACTTATGTTATTTTTGCAAATTTCTAAATGTAACACTAAGATAATATAACGTTTGATCTACAAGTCACAGAGTATTGATGAGACAAATTTAACTGGTACTATATTTAGAAACAATAATCATCTCAACAAAAGCACATTCAGAATTATTCGATTGACAAAATGTTATTCGATCGTTTAGATTCATTTCAAGTAACAGAAACTCAACTATACCACAAATCACGTCAAATTCCCAGTAAGTTTTATTCAAATTGCTATTAACTATGCTGAAATGTTTCAGGAGCGAATTTCCTCTTATTTTTTTCATTTCAAGTCTACGAACAAAAGGTTCGACGTCTAAGAACATTTTCAGAATAGCAACTGGTTCTTGAAACATCTTGCTGTATCGTTAATAACAACAAGAGAAAAGCTTCAAAAATGTGTTCGAACCCTGATGTAAAAGAGAAGCACCAAAGTCAAGATTTTCTTCCGTGTTCCTTTGATCTTCTTCCACGGATGATCATAGATCACAAGGTGATTTAATAGTGACTCAGCATCATAAAATTCAATAGAAACTAAATGTCGTAAAAACATCGTGAAACAAATCACATTCAACGTTCGTGAATGTGAAATGAAAATTTTCTATGCAAATTGACAAGCAACGTGATCGATAATATTGATCCGGAAGCAAAATCTTGACTCGATGAGCACGAAACGATCCGAATCCACAGAGCACCCTAGACAACCAAAACGGTGTCTCGAAGGACCGATCGAAAAGCACAAGCTAGAAAAGAGGGAAGAAAATAAAAAGTTGCATGCGTTTTGTTAACTCTTTCGTTGGATCCGCGGGGATTGATAAAGTGATAAAAAAGAACATATCATAAGCACTAACCGTATCTGCTGCTAGTAATCTCAGTACGACTAGATATACATAGACTAGAATATAGAATAGAGAGAAAGAGAGGGAGAGAAAGAGAGAGAGAGAGAGAGAAAGAGCATCGTAGGTGGGATCTAAGGAAAAGTATCGGCGAACGTAAAGAAGGGATAATTTCTTAGGGGATGGATTCGAGACGAAATTGGGTCGGGACCATAACGAATAAAAAAAAAAAATGTCTAAACGATTCACCTCTCTCTTGGTGTATGTATCCACTCTGTGAGGGTAAAAACGAGTCACTAAAAAAGAGTAACAATGAGAAAAAAAAAGTGTACAGTAATGCGATAATAAAAAAATTTCCTTAATAAAAAAAAAAAAAAA